GGCTACATGCATGACGTAATTAGTTTCTCATACAACATTTTATTTTCAGTCAATGCATGTAGTAGCTACAGACAGGAGGAAACTTTTGCATAGACACTTTGTTAATGCAGCATGTTACTGGCAATCTATAAATTATTAGTTTGTTATCCTTAAATGTTATTTGATACTTTATTTAGTTTTTACTGTAACAGTCTTTATTCTCCTCTTGATTTGCATTTTATTTACGACACAGTACTTCTTAGAATGAAATAAGTGAAGATAACGAACAATGTTCAAGCTCAAAAGTCCATTTAACATAAATTAGGAGCAAAGCAAATGCAGATGTCTAAAATCATAGCGAGCGCAGCAAGCTCAATAGACTAACATGTAAGTACAAAGGAAATTTTGGAGTGAAATCTGTACATATGTCAGGCAAATTTTTGTTTGAAACCTTCCCAGAATTCCTTTACTACCCAATACCCTTTGCGCGAATAAAAAAATAAATAATAAAGTAAAGCTTAAAAGGCTTTCAGTTTATAGAAATCTTTAAAAGAAACAAAAAATAACCTTTTGTCTTTTTACAAAACCTGCACTAGTTCTATAGTTTCAACTATACGCTCGGCTGTTTACGTAAACCCTGACGAGCTCCCATGTGACGTCAAGAGTCTAGATGTCTCATGTGACTTGATGTTTGAAGTGGCGGATCAACGTTCCAGGTGTATTTTTGAAGGTACAACTGCGCTCGCCACAACGGTCAGACCGTAAAACATATTAAAGTTGGGATCAGGTGCTATGGGGGAGTGAGCATCTCATAAAAAAAATACTGATGTACGTACAAACTATATAAATGAATTTCAAGTAAGGGCAGTAGTTGATAAGTATCCCTACCCTTAAAAAAATTAGTAAAGTTGTAAATTTAAATTATTGACTTGTTATTGTAGATATTACTAATACAAACTGAAACACCATCTATAGACCGTTTCACGGTAACTGCGGTACTGCTCTTTTGCAGGGCAAAATAATATAGTTTGGTGAAATATGACGTAAAAGTAATTGTTAAAGACACGTCATTTAATTATCTGTCAACAAAAACTTCGCCAAACGTTATTATTTTGCCCTGCAAAAGTGAAGTACCGCAGTTACCGTGAAGGGGCTAATTCGTCAGGTTGATTCTGAAACCTAGATTCTCCTCTAGGACTTAATTTGACCTCATTGCAGCTAAATTATTACACAGAATTTCGGTACACACGATAGCAAATAGTTAAAACATTTAAATAGAATGCATCAACTTAAGGTTGGAACAAATAATTGAATTACCTGAAGGTAGTCAAAGAAAAACTGTATCTTTCCGACATGTTGAAATGACAATGCAACAAAGAATAAAAGATAACTTGTACCAATGATATAAAAGGTATCACAACAAAAATGTTCCCTTCCTTTGATTTTTTTCTTTTAAATGAAGTTTTTAATTAATTAAAATTTCATTTTTTATTTCATTTCTCTAAAAAGAATAAAATAATATGGTATATATTCCCAAAATCTATAGCGTAGGCAAATGCGAAATAGTTATTGCACGCATTAAATATTTGATTGGTTCCCTTACTAAAAGAAAAAAGAAGATGACCAGTTGAAAGTCACGCTGCAAAATGAGCTTGATTACAAAGTTTCAAAGAACCCTGCATAATCTGTATTTTGGATTTAGAAACAATGGTAAAATAATGATAATTTTACAAGCGAAATGAATTTTGGAGGGACTTTCAATAATCAAATAAATTAATAATGTAATAAGTTACTACAGAGAAAATTCGAAATGAATGTCCATAAATCTTTTATGTCTGAAATATATACTATTGATTTAAATATTTATGAAATAAATTTACATATTTTGTGAATTTTCAATTTAATCAGAGAAATAATATCCCTGTAAACATGCTTGACAATGAATTTCTTCAGTGTCCATGATTTTAATCAGTTATGGGTACACAAATGATAATTTTGATTCCTGCTTTTATATAATGTATTGAAGTTTTGCTATTATATAATTGTTACCTTTGTAGCATGGTAAGAAAGACCACTAGACCAGTTCAAGATCCCATATAATGTTATTTCTTTCTTTCTTTTGCACCAGTAGACTTAAAGTCTTACGTGGCAAATTTTTGAAAAGTTCAGAGTTCAGACTATAACTAAAATCAAAAGATGTTTTTATTTGTTTTGAAAAAAATAAGACTTTCCTGTAAATAACACAATTTAAATCAATCGCATTTCGTAGATATCTGAGATTTAAAACAATAACCGATTTATTTACCAACTTAGCTGCAGAATTGTAGCGTTATGGTTTTATATATTTGTATTTGACCATAATGCTACAGATCCAGTATTGCAAAAAAAAATGTGCCATTTACAGGGCAAGATTTTTTGCGCATTGTTTGGGAGAATTTCTCCACTCTCCAGCTTTGGTAAATTATCTACCATGTCTACCTTTCACCCTCTAATTCCAGACACATTCTTAAACCAATTTGTATATTTTATCCTCCTCTCAACCCTTTATAGTCACCTTTACAGACGATAAACTAGCTTGATTTGAATTGTCTGAGGGATTGCAGAAAATTCTAATTCAAGCATATTTATTGCTTGTAAAGGTGACTATAAAGGGCAGTGATTGGGATAAGCACGCGTCCTGCGCCATAGTCGCATTAAATTTTAAAATGTCACATTAAAATTAAAAACGTTGCGTCATCGTGGGGCATATATATTCATGCACTACATACGCTTTTCCCAAGCGCTTGTAGTCTTTCCCACAACAATCGCTATCAATTTACGCTTGAAAAAACAGTATTTAATGTTCTTCAGTTAAAGCGTTCTTATGACTTTCTTTTCTCCAGTATCTAATTAAACAGTTACATGTTTTCTGATTGGCTAATGCGCACTAAATAAACTGGTGTCAGGAGTGCAGCATGCTGCCTTAGAAAATACCTCGTACCAATAAAGGGCAGACTTTTCTTAATCTTAACAATCCCAACAAACATAATTCAAGTAATCAGTAGAAAATGACTTGGAAGAAGTATAACATGCTGACAGAATGAATGGCGATGAATCTGACGGTAAGACTGATGATGTAGTCTAGGAAGAAAAACCGAAACGAAAATTTAACATAAATTGGAGGGTAGCAGTATAGATCTAAACCAGGCTTTAAATCATTTTAAAGATGTCAAACATCGGAGACAAAAAATAAAGAATTGAAATTAAATTGCAGTGTTTACTTATTTCTGACCCTTGTGAATTAAAATATACCGGTACTAATTTTGTATCTTTTAATGTCGTCATTCTGATTCAATGATTTGACAATTTCAATTAATTAAAGTCAACTGAAATTCTAACAGCAACCAGGGACCTATATACTAAGTATAGTATATAGTTAGTATATAGGTCCCTGCAGCAACTAATCAATTGCAAGTTTGTAACTAGTGCAAATTGTAACGGGGACCGTTACAGATGTTCCCCAAACGCTCCCCAACTCCTTTTTGGTGCCATATTCCCTGTAAGCTTCATTAAATAAGACAAACTCTGTGCATTTTAACTTTAACAACGTTTTCTCAGAAGGATACCAATTATTTTCAAATTTTAGCATTGCACCCGTGCGCATGTGAATGCATGTCCGTTATGATCATATCATCTTGTCTACACTATCTACATATTTTAATATACAATATATTAAAGCATTCAGTCCAAAAGTATGAAAAATCACTCTTTCAAGTGTATTTTTAATTTCACTATTTCCAAATGCATGCACGTGCGTGCACGTGCATGATGACCATACCTTCTTGTAGGAGTCCCTTACATCTATCTATGTTCTAAATCCCATCCTGTTTGGTTGAAAAACAAGGGAGTTATAGCCATTTCAAGTTTCAGCCAATCAGATTGCAGCACACGTGCATGCGCGTGATTTCACGATTTTTTTCTATATCATATTGTAGGATGTCCTAATGCATGACAATGTTTTGAATTTCAAAGCATTTCGTCAAAAAACAAAGTAGATATAGCCATTTAAAGTTTCAGCCAATCAGATTTCAGCACGCGGGCATGCGCATGCTTTCATGAAAATTCTTATATATCATGCTGTAGATCTTCATAATGTAGGTCTATGTTCAAAATTTCAAAGGATTATGACAAGAAACAAGAAAGATATTGAGACTTTAGTTTCAGCCAATAAGAGCGAAGCACACGTGCATGCGCGTGCAATCTTGCTATTTTGACCATGTCATCTTGTGCATACTACTAATATATACTTATAAAATGAGTTTCAAAGCATTTCATCAATAATTTTAATAGTTACGGCTGTATTAATTATATTGGACATTTCTCGTGTTGCACGTGCGAGCTCTTGCAAGCACATGTGCATGCACATGCTTTCATGAAAAATCTTATATTACTGGCTGTAGATCTCCCTAATGTATGACTATGTTCAGAATTTCAAATGATTTTATCAAAAAACAAAAAAGATATTGAGACTTTAGTTTCAGCCAATCAGAGCGAAGCACACGTGCATGCGCGTGCGATCTTGCTATTTTGACCATGTCATCTTGTGCATACTACTAATATATCCTTACATTATAAGTTTCAAAACATTTCGTCACAAAATAGAGAAGTTACGGTTATATCCATTATATATTGGTCATTTTAAGTTTTGCACGTGCGCGCTCTTGCAAGCACGTGCGCGCAAAATGACCTTGATTCCGCAAATCTACATAACATGCCTACTTACCCTAAAAAGGTTTCACCTAAGTCGGATGTGTAGTTTACAAGATCACTCGCGGACAAAATTTTCCCGGAAGAAAAATAATAATAAGAATAACTAGAGGAGATCTCGTTGCAAGCAACGAGTAGGTCTTCCGTTCGATTTTTGATACGATCATAAAACAACTTAAAATGAAAAAAAAGTTCATATCAATTCCTCTAAATACGTGAGAACACATTTAAGAGTGAAATCTGTAAATTTCAGACAACTTCCGGTCTTTAAAATT